GTTAAAACACAAATCACTTGGCCCTTACGCAGGGAAGTATTTCGTCTGCTTCTGATGTGCGTTTGTGATCTCGTTTCTGCTTCTTGGACTTACATTCTTCTGTGATTTTATTAAAGACTGAATGACTTTGTATCATGGGTAATCAAACTATGTTCTAAGCCAAATGCAGCCCTAAAAAAAAAAAGACAAATTGGACACAATAAGGAGGAAATAATTTGTAGAAGTGTACAGGAGGCTACCATCCATGGAAAGCTGCAATGTCATGGGAAAATAACTTCAGAAGTTCTTGTTGTATACTCTGTTTCCACAGAAGTCAGTATGGAGCACTTCTGAGCATTACTCTCTGGCAAAATAAAAATGCTGCAGCCTTATGAAGTTGCAACCTGATATATGGCTGCACCTAAAAGTGTGTAAATGGAAAAAAACATAAGATGAAAGCCTGAGCAAGAAGAAGATGGGTCTCATGGCCTTCTGTCTACCCAAAACTAGTACCTGCTGGGAATTCTTACTTTATTTGGTGATCCTTATTTGGAAGTATAACAGTGTTGAGGGAAGAGATTCAAACTGGCCACAACTTTCATGTTTTATTTTCTTTCCGTAGTTGTGAGTCATCCATTATTCTGACCCCAAGTGTTGTGTTTCAGTTTTGGGAGAAGGTATAACACCAGTTATCTGCTGTCATGCCATGTCTCTGCCTGACGTCGTCTGACCCCCCAGGCCAGAAGAATTACAGCCAGGTCTCTTCCCTGCTCAGGCTGAGCTACAAAGAACCCAGCTGGTCCTTGTGTAGGTGTAAAGCCCCATTTGAGAAAGTCATAAAGGAGGCAGGCTGGTGTAATAAACCTTAAGAAGAAATGCTGACCTTCCCTTCAGAGGAGAGTAGAAAGGCGGCCTCAAGTGTTGGGTTGGGAGAAATTGTTTTGTTGTGGTAGTTGACCTAATTTTCTATGTTTGAAAAGTAAAGCTGAGCCAAGAGAGAAATTTGAGCTTGGTGGTAAATCTCTGAGAAGCATGAGGTATCCAGCACGAATAGGAGGAAACTGAGGCAGTGAGTTTTTTTCAGTCAAACTGGGCACGCTGTGCTACGCGAAGCCTTTTGTCAGGCTGTGTGCATGACTGGAGCCTTGCAACAGCAGGCGGGGAAGCTAGTGAGAAACTAAACTAACAATTAAAAAGTACGTTCATCCATCTATTGCTGTGCAATTTTATGCAAATCTCCCTTATATAGTCAGTAACTAATTATATGAGGTTTTTTTAGTAATAGAAATTGACAGCTTGGACAAAGACATGGAAAGATTTAGGTCAAGAGATAATTTAGCTAATAAAAATTGAACACAAAATTATTTTGATATGAACCCTCCATATAATCATAGAATTATATATATTATATATTTGACATGTGAATAACGTTTCGGCAATGCCATTTAAGTTTGTAGGTCTGAGACTTCTTCAGGTTTTTTTGTCCCATATACATGTGTTTTGGGATTTTTGCATAGACGATTCTACTGAAGAATCCTGAAACAAAACAGGCAAGTATATTTAGGCCTAAATATGAATCTCAATTAAAAAGGATCAATTAAGTATTCTAAAGGAGGAAGACTTCTGTTGCTTAGCATCTGTTCTCCTCTGTATCAGCTGCTATTAGTTCTTATTGAGCATTTATCTGCATTGTCAACAGGCCTCTGAGCTCATTGTTAACTTGCTTTGTAAGCATCCAAGAGATGTAAGTCTTGGAATAGAAAGAGGACAGTGAATTAACTTGACAGATATTTATGGGGAGCCACTCCCAAACATGAACCAGCGTGAGGGAAAGCATGAATGTTCCACCTTGGAAAATGCCATGGCTAAGTGATGGTTCAGTCATTGTTTTGGACTGAGTGGCAGCATTTTCATTGGTTAACATGAAATGGGAGGCAGACAGATATGCCAAGAAAAGCTGTGAAGATAATTACCACACTCTTTTTTTCTGGGATGGGGACAAAGGAGGTGCAAAAAGTAAAGGGTGGGGAGCTAACCCTTGCAGAAATGTTCAGGAATCACTGCAGTAGTAGGCAGTATTTATTTGGAATTTAAAATTACATCTTGGCAACTACAAACTAAGTTTTTAATATAGCAACCATATGCTGGTGAACCTGCACACTAGATGCAGAGCATGGAGGGAAGCATGAGGGAAGAGGAGAGATCAGCACATCAGTATTGCTGCTCAGAACTGAAATACAGTAGCTTTTAACCAGAGTATTCCTATTGCATTATTTTTCAACCCAAGGTTCTTAAAAGGCCAGTTTACCCATGAGTGATTGTAGATATGCTTTTAGCCTTGTTGGCCTTGATCTGAGGTACAAAGACAGAAGATTTTTCCGTGTAGGCAATGCAGACCCTTCAAGAACCATAGTGAAAAAAAAGTGTAATTGCTCTTAGCTTTTGCAGCACAGTTTCTGGTGCAGGAAAGCCTTGAAGGGATATACCTAGCTGCCGAGGCAGCTAGTGCCTGACAGCCTGTAGATCCTGTTGATCAAGTCAAGGACTGCAGCCAGAATAATTGCTTGAAATTTTCTGGATGCAGAAGTGCCAGTGAGGAGTACTGCCCTATTCTTTTTAAAGGTTACTCCTAAGGGGCAGAATTGGAATAGTCTTACAGTGTAACAGATGCACATTTATGGATAAATATCAAGGCTAGCACTGATTCTCCTGAGAAGTCTTTAGCAGTTTTACCACATCTTTGCTTATAGTCAGCATTGCTATATTTTTTAGTTCTGAAATGTTAATGGAAAAAGATATGGTAGGAGGAAAACAGTGCAGGGAAAGTGTGAAACCTTTTCAGAAATTATTTCCTGCTAAAAAGTCTAATGAAGTTTATGTGATGAACTGTAACAGCTAAGCACACCCCACATAACAGTCAAGATTTGATAGTTTTTAAAGCTCTTCAGGCACCCTTTTTTTATTACGATATGGCTGTTTGTGTTTTGTGCTAATAATTACACTCAGATTTCTCTTTGCTACCCTGCTCTTTCTCCTTTCCTATCAAAAGTAGGTTTTGGGGATTTAGAAATCTACCTCTCTTCAGAAACACAGATTTCTGCATATTTTTTAAATCTCTTTGAAGTTAAGAAGAAACACAACAATTTTATTTTATTTTTAGAGTTTTGTTGTTTTTTCTTCTTGGAAATCAAATAATACTCAAAATTTCTAGAAATTTACCTTTGGTTTTACTTGTGTTTTAAAACTTTTATTCCAGGCTTCCTGAAGTGTGTGTGAGTAGTCTTTTTTTCCTTCCTATGTGTTGGACAATTAGCTTAATTAATAATATGATATATAGAAAAGTTTTCAGGAAAATATTTTTATTTATAGAGTGCATGTCACTGTAGGGTGTACTGTATAATTAGGCATGTGTTAAAATATTGGGAGAATAACCTGAATCTGAGATGATACTAATGATGAAAGGGAGATTAAATCAAAGATTTATAATGCTGGCCTGGAGGTGTTTACTAACTGTACAGAAAATATATAGAGTGTTTCAGTACTATAATGTTTTTCATATTATAGCTAGATGAGAAATATTAAGATATGTGTAGTCCTAAATCGATTTCCTTGGATTATAAATTAGTTCACAATTATATGCTGATAGCATATAATCTGCAGCTGAAGATTGCATGTGTATCTCTTGAGTAATGAGAACTGCATCTTTTGTAAATGTAGAATACTGATAACAAAACTGAGAATTTGACATGCTGCAGGCAGGCAACATAAAGTCTTTCACACACAAAATGCATGTCTGATCTACTAATTGAAGTACAGTTAAAAAATGCAGATATGAGATTTGATTTAAATTATTCAGAAAAAAAAAGTATGGAGGTGCCATTTTTATTAATAACTTTTCTCACTAGAACAGAACTAGATACCTGACCACGAGCAACAGTTGAAGAAACAAACTCCAAATAATCTGAGAAGCTGATGAAATAGAAGTATTTTAATGCCCTTAATATATTTAATTTGCAATAGTGTACATATTCTGCAATATATATATATAGTTACATCATTGTGATAAGCCTAAATACCTAACTATAAAAATACTTTTGGCTGAGAGAGATTTAAAGAATCAAGTATTGCATAGAATTTTATGACACCCGCTATGCATAGAGGGTTCATAAACCTGCATGTGCCATTTAATAAATAAGGGAGAAAAAGAAAAACAAGTTATTTCTTCTTGGAAAATAAGTTAATTTATACAGAAAACAATTAATAAATAATATATACATAATGTTGACTTATACAGAAAAGCATAGTAACTGATATATACATCCAAAAAATAATTAGAATGGTTGGTTTGAATTGTTTGTGAAAAACGGTGACTTAATTTCTAAGTGTATATGTGTGTATACATGCCCATTTATCTTTCATGATATTCCCAAAAATAATAGAAGCAATAAGGAAGATCTCATAATCTCTTTGAAACATTTAATTCTAGCAGATCACTAAGATGAAAGAAACAGTCTTGTTTTGTGGATTTGTGGGGGTTTTTTTTTGTTTTTAAAGCATGTGAATCTGAGCAATGATCACTTTTCAACAGAAACTAGTATAGTAAAATACCTCAGAGTTAAATGGTTTTCGCTGTTTCTGTTTATAAATTATGGTGGTTTGAAAAGTGTTTTTCAAAGCTCTGAAGTGTTTTTAGCCTCTAGCTTTCATTAACTTGGGTGAATTAATATTGGAGTTCAGATGCTAATTTACATGACTTCTTTTGAAAACAAATTTAGGTCAAATCCTGTTTCTGTAGGGGTATCCATTAACTCTGTCATTAACTCTGGGAAATCTTTGTGTTCACAGCCTCTGTTCTTTAACTGACAATTAATTTTTCTGACTGAGTCACCTGCCTTCAAGTATGGAGTTGGCAAATAAAGTACTTTCTTTAAGAAGCAAGGATACTTTTCTTGTGCACTGCAAATGAATTCTGTAGAAATCTAGCATCTGGGTGGTGGATTTACTTTTCATTATTTTTCCAGGGGAATTCCGGCCTGGGGTTCAGTATTGCTGGAGGAACAGATAACCCACACATTGGGGATGATCCTGGGATATTCATTACTAAGATTATACCAGGAGGAGCTGCAGCAGAGGATGGAAGACTCAGGTAAAAACAAACTTATTATTTATGTTTGGAAATGAAATGCATAATTATTATAATTATTCTCTAGGAGTCAAATGCCAGCTGGGTCTTTCATGGGGTCAGGGGAAGTAAATGACATGACTCCTTTCTGCTAAAAGAGCTGACTTAAGTAGCTTAAAGCAACTGAATAAGTTTAGTTAAGTCCTGTATAAAGAGGCTTTTGATGGTGCTGCCTCCATCTTTGTACCAGTTATTTCCTTTAGTACAAAAGGCGATATGGGCACAGGAGGAGGAAACCAGCATATCAGTATGCATCCATCTCTTCTGCTTGGTCTTTGTATGTTCATGGCTGAAGAACTACACATTGGTGTTATACATTAAAGCTATCAAGACTTCCCAAACTACAAAGCTATTACTAAATGACCATAGCTATTTGTAGACATTTCCAGTTATTTGACTGCAGTAATGAGGTGTGCTGTTTCCAAGTGGTATTTTTGCTCCATGAAGATATGGTGGCTAATCTCTATGTTTTAAGTCATATCCAGAGTAGTTTATTGCTGTGGCTCCTTAAATGGATACAGAGGTCACTTGATATGGTTCTCAAATACATCATACTATATCTCTTAAACAAGAGAAACTTTTTTTTTAGAAGTAAATGCTTAGATTTTATTCTAACGGTAGATGTTTGGGATGAGGGAGATCCTTCAGGCCTCGTTTCAGTTCATTACCTGGAAGGAGTATGCCCTTCCACCCTCCCCCCACCACGTGGCCAGGTGACCCCAAGACGGAGCACTCACCAGAGCACCAGGGGAGAGAGGACGAAAGAGGAAGTTTAATGTGGGAGGGGGCTATATATAGCCCTTGGGGACCAATCACAGGTGAGGGGTCACAATCAAGGTAAAGGGTTTACAGCCAATAAGGAAGGGGTTAACAAAGGACAAATGAGAACACCTTGGGACATCTTCCCAGGACACTCCTACCCGAGAGATAAGGGATTTACAGTGGAGGTATAGGGGAAAACGCAGTGGCTCTGTAAAGAGCCCTCTTAACATGAGTTTAAACAACATTAAAAACTTCTGATTCATCAATCCACCTTTGGCAGGACTCTTTCCAAACATCCATTGCCACATTATTCTTCATTTAGAAGAAATGCTTGTGCTTGTCTTTCCTTATGGACTGAATGCAGAAAGGCTTCCGGCTATCACAGAGGCTGCCGCCTATCTATTGGTCATGAAGCCTGCTGATGCTCCACATAAGCAATTTAACTGGAAAGACTTGGGATAAAATTCTGATGCTTTCACGATCTCAGCACTGGAATCAACTCTGGGAGCCTTTGCCAAAAACAGGTGGTCTAAAATTCATGAAATGTAACCAGATGGTAGCAACAACAATTTTTCCCAAAGCCTTTTCCTTTAATTCAAAGTTAAAAGTTGTCCAGTTTTTAGGGGAAGTTTTGGATATTTCTTATGCTATGTATGCTTAGCAATTTGATTTTGGAAATGATTCTTTTTTTTTTACTACAATAGTGATGACGAGTCACGGTGATTGGCAGTGCGTAAAGAATTTGCATTTTAAATAAAATTTCAGACAAAAGGAGTAGGACCAATCTCATGTAACTTTATGACTAAAGTGCAGCTATCTACCCTTTAGCTTAGAATCTCCTAATAGTCAGTGAAGAAAAACCTAAGCATTTCTAGGTTGTGATTCATCTCATCCTAAAGTAAATGTCTAAAATATAACAGGAGAGTAAAATTTTTCATTGGTGAGTCAAAAGAAAAGGAGTTTCTTTAACTAGTCCAGCTGTAGTGATCTGTACTGTAAATGTCTGCATTGGTCCAGATGAGCTTCATGGAAAAGAGAGCACGAAGAAATAGCAATATCTGGAAATCATGCTGTTAAATTTGATAGGATGAACAACATAGGGGGTCTTAAACATCCAACTATTTTTCTGAAAACAAGAAAAAATTCCTTGCAAAAAAACAATAGTATCTTTATAGTAGAGTTTTTTATTAAATTTGAAGGCTTTTTTAGTTTAAGCTATTAAGACAGAAGCCATTGCAGTATTTTGTCTTGCTATCTTTGTATGAAATCAAACATTTCATAACTCAATCTAGTACTAACCGCTGTAAATTGAACTCATGATTATTTGTTTCATAAATATCTTAGAAAGACCTTCTAAACCCACAAAAAATAGCATACTAATACAATTAAAATATTAAAATTAATAAAATATTAAAATTAGACCTAGCAAACTTTGTGTTTTGTAATAAAAGTGTAGTAGTACAAGTATACTTATCTTATAACTAAGACTTAGATTAATATTCTAATAATATATTTGGTGTGGTCATTTTTCCAATTCTCATAGATTTCAGAAAGTTTTCTCCTTTCCTTGTTTTATCTGGTAAGTAGGTTTCACTTTGCTACAAAGACCTGCATCTCCTGTCACATTTTATGAACACCTGAAAATGTAGTTATCAGTGATGATTACTGATATGCCACTGAAGGGGCATATCCTGGGGCCGTCTCTACTGACTTACATGATAATTAATTTTTGATAATAGAGAGAGTTTATCAGCTAAGGCCACTCTATAGGAACAAAAGCTCAACAACATTTATTAACATTTACCAAGAATAGTGATAACCTAGGTTCCTAGCAAAAGAACAACTTTTAATTACCTAAGAATCAGAGATTGGTGTTTATGGACTGAAAAATATATACTTTTTTGTGTCCATTTTTGCTTCAGCCTCTGCCTGCAGACAGTCTACATTATATAGCAGTGTGGACTGTCTGAACTGGCTTCTATATCTACTTCTGGTTTTAAATCATAAAAGCCTGTAAAATCACTTCTACTGCATTTTACATGAAGTCCCTTTGATCTAACATAGCTATGTGAAGTTCTTCAAACAGCAAGACTATGAAAGTGACCTGCAAGAAATTGACTTAATGCTTCAGACCCTTGCAAATCTTTTACATGTATATATGGGTTGGCAAGGGAGGAGTAGGTCAGCTGAAGTTTCACGTAAATCCAACAGAAGCAAATGCAACCTCCCGCATGTGGGAAGACTCTTCAGTGGGAAACATATAGTTATAAGTACATAAATATCAGCTATAAATACCTTTTGGGAGGGAATGAAGACAAAGGAGCCAAACATATCAGTAGGGCCTAGTGAAAGGGCAAAAAGCAATGAACACAAAACACATGATATTTCGTCTTATCATGAGGAAACGTTTTTTTACTGTGAGAGTCACTGACTCTGCACATAGGTTGCCCAGAGACGTTCTGGAGTGTCTACCCTTGGATGGCTTCATGAGAGGAAAGTCCTGCTTATCAAACCTGATTTCCTTCTATGACAAGGTAACCCAAGGTAATCCTTCTGGACAAATTGACCAGCACGCGGCTGGATAAACACATCATGCAGTGGGTGACCAGTTGGCTCACGGGCCGAGCACAGAGGGTAATAGTGAATGGGGTTGCATCGGACTGGGGACCTCTCACTAGTGGGGTTCTGCAGGGCTCTGTCTTAGGCCCTGTGCCCTTCAACATCATCATAAATGACTTGGACGCAGGACTGGAAGGGGTGCTAAGCAAGTTTGTGGATGACACAAAACTGGGAGGAACTATTGACTCCCTCGAAGGCAGAGAGGCCCTGCAGAGAGACAAATTAGAGGACTGAGCAATCACCAACCAGATGAAGTTCAACAAGGGAAAGTGTCAGATTCTGCAACTGGGATGGGGCAACCCAGGATATGTGTACAGACTGGGGAATGAGATGCTGGAAAACAATGCCACAGAAAGGGACCTGGGGGTCCTGGTCAAGGGCAAGTTGAATATGAGTCAGCAGTGCCCTGGCAGCCAGGAGGGCCAACCATGTCCTGGGAGGCATCAGGCAAAGTGTCACCAGCTGGTCAACAGAGGGGATTGTCCTGCTCTGCTCTGCACTGGTGAAGCCTCACCTTGAATATTGTGTGTGGTTTTGGGCACCACAATATAGGAAAGATATTAAGCTGTTAGAGAGGTCCAAAGGAGGGCAACAAAGATGATGAAGGGCCTTGAGGGGAAGCTGTGTGAGGAGCAGCTGAGGTCACTTGATCTGTTCAGCCTGGAGAAGAGAAGACTGAGGGGAGACCTCATTGCAGTTTACAACTCCCCCATGAGGGGAAGAGGAGAGTTAGGCACTGATCTCTTCTCTGGGGTGACCAGTGACAGGACCCACGGGAATGGCCTGAAGCTGTGTCAGGGGAGGTTTAGGTTGGATATTAGGAAAAGGTTCTTCACCCAGAGGGTACTGGAACAGACTCCCCAGGAAGTGGTCACAGCACCAAACCTGGCAGAGTTCAGGAAGCATTTGGATACACTCAGGCACCTAAGTGTGACTCTTGAGAGTGGTCCTGTGCAGGGCTAGGAGTTGGGTTTGATGATTCTTTCAGATACCTTCCAACTCATCATATTTTGTGATTCTGTGATATTTAAAACCTGATTAGACATCTTCTTGGCAACATGTTCTAGCTAAACTTGCTTCAGCAGAGAGAGTTTGACAAGGGGATCTCAAGAGGTGCTTTCCAACCTAAATGATACTTTCATTCTGTGATTTGGCCTGAGTCAGCAGTGTGCCCTGGCAGCACTGAAGGCCAGCATGGAGGTCAGCAGACATGCACAGAGAAAGAACTGGATGCAGCAGTCACATGTTGCAATAAGGAAAATTTCAATTTGGTCTGAGGATAAAAAAGATCTTTTTCATGAGGATAGAAAGACACTGTAACTGGTGATTCTGTGAGATTCTGAGATCTCTGTCCTCAGAGAGACTCAAAATTCATATGAACAAACTCCTGAACAATATGATTGAACTTTCAAATTGGTCCTGCTTTGAGCAGGAGATTGGACTAGATGACCTCCAAAGGTCCCTTCCAACCTGAATTGTTCTCTGATTCTGCAGATTATTCTTGTATATAAAATCTGAGTGTAAGACAAACAAAGGTGATTAAGTTCCTAGGTTTTTTCTTTGGTGGAGAATAGTACTTTTAT